AAAAGTTATTCAAAAAATACTCACTAGCATTCATGGAACCGTGACACATGCGAACAAAACAGATCTTATCAAAATTTTATTATTCTTATATTAGTTGAAGTATGATCAAATAGCATAGAAAAATAGATGATTCTTTTCTCTATCAGACTGCATAGAAAGAAAATTTCCTGAAGCTTAATATACAGTATTAAAGTGTCACTGCCCGTACTTTTGGTATGCCCTAGGTATATTTCAAATAAGCGCTTTGCGGAAAATTTGCGGTTCGTCAGACGACAAAAAACATATCTTTCGTGTACTCGAACAGAAGAATCCCGACTGAAACTTGTTATACCTCACATCCCTCTTCGGATTCTGAGTTCTGTTTCAGATTATTCAACGTTTCGCATCAGCAGAAGACAAAAGTTTTCTTCTTTAGATTAAAATTTAAGCATTACGGCGCAGTCCGGAGCAAGTTTTCTAAAAATTTTCAATACTGCATTTCATATCTTATGAAAATCTCTGAAACACGGGCTACAAGCATACTCAAAATGTCGAATTCCTTTCTTACCATTGAATCGTGACCATAGGAAAATATAACAGACATATCGGTTACAACCGGCATCGGTTACAACCGGCATCGGTTACAACCGGCATCGGTTGTTCGGTTATAACCATCGCCGGCGCATCCTAGCCTCGATATACCCATTAAATCTTGCAAAAACTACACAGTCATACAGTTTGACCATTTTATGTCCCAACAGATTAAATCAAGGGGGAAACAGGTGATTTAAATCAGCCCAAAATCAGTCGAAAATCACCCAAAATCAATTGATTTTCAGTCAATTTTCAATGATTTTCAGTGCCTTTTCATTTGGTAAAAATCGAAAAAATCCCAAAATCAGCTGTTTCCCTCTTGGATTAACTTCAATTTGTTAAAGACAATTTGAAAGCAAACCCGAATTTTCTTTTTCTATTTGATAGATGAAAGGGCGAGAATTTTTCCTACGATCTTCTGGATCACATAAAAACCAAACGGCAGGAAAAGGTATTTCTCTACTCAATGTCCTGACAGGTTTTTAATTTTACTTCTTCGATTTCTCGGTAACTATGAGAGATCAGCCAACGATTTTTGTATCTTTTTAAGCTTATCAGACGGTAAGTTTTGGATAATAATTTCACGTCGTAAATAAGTATCGTTTGCATGAAAATGGCATTTTACTCTAGAAATGTCCCGACCAATTTTTTTGCATCAAAATATCCCGACAGTTTAAAATGATAGCTATTTAAAGAAAATATACTTTAATTTCAACTTTTTAGACTTCAATAGACTTTTCTCGGGATGAGGGTGAGAAACGTTCGAACATTTATGGAGTATTCTTCTTACCTTGGATGACCGAGAGGTCTGCCTCTTTTCTTTATTTTTCCTTTTTCTATCATAAAGTAAGAGTGTTTAATGTAGAAATTTAAATTATTTACTAACAGCTAGTGTCTGATTACCCATAAGTTTATTTTTCATCTGCTTTTTACGACAACAATGTATAAATATTCATTCAGAAATAGTATTTCTTTAAAGAAATCTCGGAAAACATTGATTTTTAAGAAAACTCTATTTTTTTCGAAACGAAAATACTAACAGTTGCACGGTGCGCATATAGGCGAACATTTGGCCGAAAATCGAAAGTGAGCTTTTTTATGATTTGAATAGTGCCAAAAATACTCCGTTAAACGTGCTATCTAATGGTATAAAAATGGTTTTTATTCTAAGACTTTTCCTTCCGGAAAAATTTGGTAGAGAAAAAACCGAATATATAACGGGTGGCCCAGAAAGAATGACACACTTTTGCATCTTATTTCTGTGTACTTAAACTGAGATGTTAAGACTGCATTTTAGGCTCATTCGATAGTGAATTTTCTGCTCTATAAAATCCATTACCTTCTTTCATTACATATTATTTTATTATCTAAAAAGATTGTGTAGATTAAGGACACATAAAAAGTATAACTGCGATTTACAATTAAAGTTTTGATGGCTTTTTGACTTTTGTGTAATTTTCGAGAAATAATATGGTATCTGAGAAAAGAGTGTCCTATAAAAATGTTCAGCGGATTGAGAACTATTATCCAGACTACGCTGCTTTTCTGTTTGGTCATTCAAATTGTAAATATTTTAGTGTTAAGTAAGTTAATTAGTACTTTCTGACAACATGAGATTTTGAAAAAAGCAGGGAAAGAACTAATCAAATGACATTGTGTAAGTGTACAATATAGAGGTTTTGTAGAGCAGAAAATCTTTTATTTTCTGAAGTCAGAACGAATTCTTGGAACTATATGATATATAGACAAAAATAGGTACATCAATAACCTCATAATCTTGGAACCATCTATTGTTAGCTGTTGAACGTTAGGAAAAAATATTATTTTTCAACGGAAATTAATTAAATCAAGATGATTTCTTTACTTATAGTATCTGTGACAATTAGCTAACAGAAACATTATTCAATAATCAATTACGTCGAATAGAAAAGAAGATACAAGCTGTTCCATTCGTTGCAGCAATAGTTTTTACGTGTCCTTAATCTACACTATCTTTTTAGATAATAAAATAATATATAATGAAAGAAGGTAATGGATTTTATAGAGCAGAAAATTCTCTGTCGAATGAGCCTAAAATGGAGCCTCAGTTTAAGTACACGGAAATAAGGTGCAAAAGCGTGTCATTCTTTCTGAGCCACCCGTTAAGGAAAATGCTAGAAGGTAGGACGTGTACAGTGTAATCGCAAATACGCCTACATTCACCTTCAAAGAGACTTGAAAAATAGGTCAAAATGTTCATTAGCATATCCCGCATCTGTGGTAGACTCATAAAATCTCACAACTTTACCTATATATAGTTATGGATTTTCAAAAAACCCCTTGGTTTTTGAGGTATTTTGCAATTTATTCGGTCCAGAATCACTTATATTCAAAAATAGGGTGATATTCGGGATCAGCGTGAAAAGCTGCACCGAAGGATATATAGTTTGTTAGTTTTACAAATAAAACATTTTTTGACAAAAATTCGGGACAAGGGTCCTTCGAAGAAATTCTTTTCGAATTCGACCTTTCTTTACTTCTACTAATATTTGACACATAGTAAGACCATATTATGCTAAAATAATCATTTTTTAACTCAAAAAAGCAGATCTATGGCAAAGTGCCCACTGTGAATTGGGAAAATACTTGGTTTGTATACAATCACTGAAACTCTATCAAATGTATGACTCAAATTTTCTTCATATTCATTTTTATTTTTATTGATTTCTTTTACTTCAAACGGTACAACAACAGCACAATTCACCTATTTATATTTTTGTAGTCTATAACCTTCCACATCAAAATGTCAAAAGCTTTTTCTTTAGAGACCAAAGCATTATTGAGAAATAAGTTTTTTTTCCCTGAAAAGTCAACGTATTCCAAGTGTTTTTCATCGAAATTTATTATTGATGTAACTTTTTTAAGAGAAGATCTTTTATCCGTTTTTCATATCAGCTTGATGCTCAACTAAATGACTTATTTGAAAGTCAAATGTGTGCTCTGAAACTCTCAGAAACAAACTCTTAAGAGCTGTTTCAAGTGTATATTATTTATTTTATTATAATTGACATACCCTTATGTGATTTAACTTTATCAAAAAAGTTATCTTGTAATCCAAATTTGGTATTTGTCATAAATTGTTGACATTTTTCTTCATTTTCATTTAATACTAACTTATCATATTGTCCAACAACGGTCAGTTGATCAACACCACCAAGAAACCAGTCACCAAAACGAATATCTTTAAGAAGATAAAAGTAAAATTTATATATGACATTCATAAATAAGACCAAATATGTACCTTTACTAAGTTTTAATTTCACTAAAGCCATTGTAGCACGTGCATCTTCAGTAGGATCATGATCAATCTGTCCTTGAATTATTTGTCTAATTAAGGAGAAAAAAAAATATGACAAATAATAACGTTGTTTACTGTAAAAAACGTATTGTAGTTGATCAGTGTTATTTATACTCTTTTATGGATAGGAAACTACAAACCCACATTTGTCTTTGACGATAAATGAGTGCAAATATCGTGTAGAACTGAAGTCTAACGAATTAGCAGCATATAACAGAAGTTAAAATAACAAGAATATATCCAATTTTCTTCTCAAAGATAGACGAAAAAGATTACTTTTTACATACCCGAAATATATAGCGTACAATTGTTGTAAACTTGATTTATGTAAACGAAGTCCGCTTACATTATAAATGATACTTGTGTCAATTAAATAAGGATGATAAATCTAATAAAAAAAATCAATAAAATAACAATGGAATATTATCTAACAAAATCTCTTACTCGATTAAAAACAAAAAAAAAATCATGAGAAATAAATAACAAATGAAAATGGTAGCATTTCTCTTTCAGATCACATAACATTCATCGGACACAGCAAAGTTCATGAGAATCCGTAAGTCTCAAGAATAGTTTAGATAATTATTCAAAACAATAGCTTATCAAGAGGGAAATTATCAAATATGCAAAAAAACTACGTATCTGATCGATATTGATTCGAGATGTCCATCTGATTTGGCAGACTTGAGTAGATCCTTTAAAAAGAGCATGGCACAGTGTGCATTAGCAATCGATCACATAATTTTCATTGTCAAGAGCCCTTTCTTTTCGCATAAAGCTGGCTTTTGAGCGCTCAGAAACTCATATTAATCAAAAACAAACAAAAATAGTTTCAACTAAAAATTTGGTCGAAAAGTTTTTTTTTCGAAATTAGACATTTGATACACCATCCGACGCAGTTTAGTGCGCTGATTTCAGATATGGCCTTATTTTTGAATAAAAGTGTTTCTGAGCCAAGAAGAATGGAAAATACCTGAAAATCCAAGATTTTCTGGAGAACTCACTGTGCTGTCCAGGAATGTTTCCGCTAATTTGCGCTAACAGCATTGATGAAAGGCAGATAGAAGAACATTTTGCCAAAGTTTGGACGAGCTTCGAGATTGAATGTGGATGGATGGCGTATTTTACTAAACATAGCCGTTCGAAAGATCACTTAAGAAAAACTTTTTTTTTTCTCAAAAGTCATAAGTCGAAATTAAGAAATATTTCCACTAGTATATAGCATACGATGTGCAGATTTAGATAATATTTTGAATTTGCCTACCAGTTTGTTCACTTTTGCGAAAAATTATGTTTCTCATCAATATCGATGTTTTCAGGCTAATTTTTGATTATCGATTTTTCCACGCTACTTAAGCTTTGTAACAAAAAGGACGGATGCCCAAATGGTCACTTTTCGTCCTAAAAGAAATTGGCATGAATTATATATTTTCAGAATCAGCATCGAATTCTGAACAAAACTGTCATTTTACATTTTTGAAATTCAACAAAAAAAATTTTTTAAGGCAAATCCCCCCCCCTCAGGGACTTCGAAAATTTTTTTTCCACTTTTTAATAAAAATAATGTCTATTCCTATAGGTTCGAGCACGGTGATCACGAATATCACAACCGCACCTCATAAAAATGTTTCCTCGTTGAATGGTGACCATGACAATTTTTGGCCTAAAACCCGGTATTTTTGGTCTTGGCTCTATTATCTCGGTATAGGTAATATTATAAAATATATAATTTATGCCAATTTATTTTAGGACGAAAAGTGACCATTTTGGCACCCGTCCTTTGTATGCTATCAGATAGATGTGTCGAAGGATATTTATTACTATTTGAATCGATGAAAAGTCGACTTTTCGTTTTTTAACCTAATGCTCGGCTGGACACTATTTTGTAAACCTATCTAGTTTTTTCACTTAAGAGATAGAACAATTTTCTTTAGTTAATTCTATACTACAACACCTGGCGAACAAAGATACGCATCATTTTTCTTTTTCTTCTTTGTCATTACGGAGAAAATAATTCATTTTTTGAAAAAAAAAAAAAATATATAAATTCTGCTCATATTTTTCAGTTTTAAATATGAAATTTTTGATTTTTCTTTAATATTAAAACGTTCAATAGTACGTAGTTAACAGTTATATATTTCAATACTCTCCAATGAGATAAAATATCATCATTCATAAATTAGAATAATTTTTTTTGTTCAATCATGTGAACAGAACTTACCTGCAAGTATTTGAGATCGTTTTCAATACTGTGTCCAGTTAATATAGCATCGTCAGGTAAATGTATTGATAAATCATGTTGTACTTCATGTAATGTTTTTTCATATATATTGGGTAACATTGATTGTACACGTCTTTTTCTAAAACAGAATAGAGTTAGATATGATCATCATTATCAAGTAGAAGAATATATATACTCGTCTTCATATTTTGAATTAGAATTTTTATTTAATGGTTTAATTAACGCTTGATAACAACATTCTAAATTTTCATCAACAATTGACATCCAATAGGGAACTTGAAGATCATTTAAAATTATCTAAATAGCACATGAATAGTCATTAAAAATACTTTTATCATCAATATAGAACACGTCTCATTGTCTAACAAAATAGTCTAACAAAAATTTGTAAATAAAAGCTATTTTAATAGATCGATGCCTATCGTTCGAATACATTAGTGGCTTGTATTTAGGCATGCAACAGTTATTTTATCGGATGGGACTTATGGGGGCAGTAGTTTTAAAATTATTTCAAATAGACAGTTTTGTGCACAAATGTTTGCTCTACAAAATAAGACATTGTAGACTTTCTCATGATGGTTCGTCGATCAGATACACAGTTTTTATCTGAAAAACTGAGCGGTTATTAACCGATCTTATTTTAGAGAAAAAAATTCATATCTTATCAACGAACCATCGTAAGAAAGTCTGCAATGTCTTATTTTGTAGAGCAAACATTTGTGCACAAATCTGTCGACTCGAAATAATTTTAAAAAGTTTCTTGAATTTTTAAAACTACTACCCCCCAAGAGCTCCGATAAAATAACTGTTGTATGCCTACTTGTATTCAGTAGCTTATCAAACATACAGTCGTGATTCTTTTTACTGGTACCTTTCCTACTAGAAATATCGAAGTTTACATTTTCTAATGAGTTTGTATCAGAACTCCACGTAAGATGAGATAGGACAAAATTTCTTGACAAGAATTTTTTTCTCAGAAAAAACGTCAAGCAAACAAAACGTGTACACAAATGAAATCTCTCGTATTTTGGGGCACGCAAAAACGTAAAAACTACTTTTAGGTTTAAATTACAATGTTTTCATAATATAAAAAGTTAAAGAGCCTCATCAGCTCATTGATTTAGTGTAAAACAAAGTAAAATTAAAAACAATCATTTCGCGAGATTCTGTCAAGAGGGAAAAAACACCTTTTTTAGTACAGCACATCAGCACTTTTTTCAGCAAACAAAACTACTGATTTAGTCTATTGATAACGTTCTCGCTTCGCAAAAATTCAAGGTAGCGGATGGACAAAAGGATTGAATCCGATCACGGACTTTTTTTTATTATTTTGCTTCCAGTTGAATCAAAAATATGATGCAAATACAGCCAAACTTCTCTCTCTAAGTTTATTCGTAGACAAATGGATCTGTGCAATGTGTAATTCGATTCCACTACCCAGCGTTTTCGATATAATTTTGGCAAGATGGGGGAAGTTCTATTGAACAACTCCAAAAAATTTCTCAGCACGTTTTTTCCTAGAAAAAGCTTAGCTGAGAACCAAAGAAGAAAAGTTAACTTTTCTGAGTGAGCAAATTTTTTTATGAACTAACGAGGGAAGGTTCCCAAGTGTTACTCTCACTTTTCAATGGGATATATCCTAATTTTTAGAGCTCGACGAGCTGATTACAATGGAATAAAGTATTTTCTCCAATGGCTCGTGAAGATCCGGTTTTCTGGAAAAACAGTTTTCAGAAACTAAAAAATAACTGAAAACTTTTCTTAACGAGGTATAATTATAGCGCGCACATTTCTGATTAAAATGAGACATTTCCCACCTCTACACGACCTTTCTTTGCAAAGTTATAGATCTTACAAGAAAAGCCCTAACGAGGGAATCGCCCCAGGTGCCCCGCTCCGATTTCGTTCGTTCATGCATCATTCGATAGGGGGTCTCGAGTAGATAAAAAGCCTAAAAGGATATCGGCTGACGACTCTTTAAGACCTGGTTTTCTGGAAAGCCAGTTTTTCAGAAACTCTAAAAAATAACCAAAACCTTTTCTAGTGAGTCATAATTGTAGCCCGCACATTTCTGNTCCAGAGACCGGGTGTCTGGAAAGCCAGGTTTTCAGAAACTCTAAAAAATAACCAAAACCTTTTCTTAGTGAGACATAATTGTAGCCCGCACATTTCTGATTAAAATGAGACATCTCCCAGCTCTACATGACCTTTCTTTGCAAAGTTATAGAATTTACAAGAAAAGCCCTAAATTAATTTCTTCTGATTTCTACAGCTTTGAGTTGACACTGAACATTCAGGGCTTTTCTTGTAAATTCTATAACTTTGCAAAGAAAGGTCGTGTAGAGCTGGAAGATGTCTCATTTTTATGAGACTTTCGCGGGCTACAATCATGTCTCATTAACAAAGGCTTTGGTTATTCTGTTAGAGTTTTTGAAAAACTGGTTTTCCAGAAAACCGGGTCTTAAAGAGTCGTCAGCCGATATTCTTTCAGGCTTTTTACCAGCTCGATGTGCTCTATAAAACGAGGTATGAATGAAGGAAATCGGAGTTGGGCACCTGGGGCGGTTCCCACGTGAGTGTTTTCGTTGTCAGCTCGAAACTACAGAAATAAGGAGAAATTAATTTAGGGCTTTTCTTGTAAATTCTATAACTTTGCAAAGAAAGATCGTGCAGAGCTGGAAAATGTCTAATTTTAATTAGAAATATGCACGCTACAATTATACCTCATTAAGAAAGATTTTAGTTATTTTTTTAAAGTTTCTGAAAAACTAGAAAGTGATTTTCCGGAAAACCGAATCTTCAAGAGGCATGGAAGAAAATGCTTTATGCCATCGTAGTCAACTCGCCGGGCTCTACAAATTAGGATATGTCCCATTGAAAACTGAGAGTAACACGTGGGGACGTTCTCTCGTGAGTAAATTCATTTCAAACAAGGTGGGAGAATTCCCTCATCTAATCGAAAACGTTGCCACTACCTTATGTTTTCCAAAGCAATACTTTACGGCACCCTAATCGGCACTAGGTGCTGTTGTTTTCCTCTTGGATCATGTCCTATACAAAAACAGCTCTTATTTAGAATACCTACTGTTTCAACATCCACAGCAAATATCGGACTTTTATCTGTAACTGGTTGATATAGTTGTTTAGTACGCTTATACGTTTGAAATTGATTTAATATTGGACATGGATAATTTCCACATAGCATCTGTTTTAAATTCAATAATAATTTTACACGTGAATATTCATCTTTTTCTCCTAACTTCAATATTTTATTTTCTTGTTGATTTTTGATCATATCACTGTCATCATATGAACGTTTCATACTAGTTGTTTGAACATTTCTACTTGTAGACGATGATCGTTCTAAAAAGAAAAATGAAACGAGAATGCAGTATAGAGAGTACATTCGTCTTTGTTATATTTAGACCAAAATAGATTTAAAACATTGGTGTTATATCTAAACATACAATTTACTTACCTTCAACTTGATCTATTCGTTTTTTTGCAGGCATTTTTAACATTTGTTGTAAAAATGACATATTTGGTAATGTTAGAAAACGAAACGTTTGACAAATATCATCCTAAATAAACGATGAATGATGTACACAGAAGTTAATTGTTGTGATTTAATCTTACAGATGTAAATAATTGTTTGAATGGAACAAATACATTCAAATTTTTCAAATAATATTCATCTGACACACCATTGAGAACAACAACGAAAATTTGTTGAACTTTTTGAATACGTAATACGCGACACCAACTAAAAAAAATAAAAAAAAATACGATATTTAAATATGAGAAACAATGGTATACAAGAAAACTAACTATTTGTTTGCAACATATTAAATTTGCAATCAAATTGTACATACACTTTGTTTTTTTTCCAAAAATTGTTTTTCTTTTTAATCGATTTCGAGAAAATTATATTTATCTATTGACCGATGGTTTATTTTTTTGTTTATGACAATATAAACAAAGGAAAGATAAACAGAAACGGTCGTACTTTGCGAATTTTAAAAACGCCTTTATCTCACTTACTCATAAGATATAACATGACATAGATATCGTGGGGAAGCATGAAAGAGGATGAAGTTCATTCTTGAAATTTACACTCATAATGAATGAGTAGAGTGAAGAAAGAACAAATCGTTTTTCTCAACGTTCTCAGTCCATCTACCTTTAACATAAGCAACGAAATGAGTAAAAAAAAGCACATCAATGTTAAAGAATCTGAATTTCTGATAAAACTGACATATACAATAGCAACAGTTTCTTTCTTCGTTTCCCCACCAACAACAGTTACGAGTGATTCACCAATTCGATTACGACTGTTTAAGTTTAATGAATTTGCCTGTTTAAAAGGTTTCTTTTACTAAAACATTCTAGTCAACGTATACTTGAGATATTTTCTGAAAAATAAAGCTAAGACATAAGGGTCCTTTTAGAAAAAAAGAGGAACGTCAACAATTTTTTAAGAAGAGTGTAGGGTACAAAAGAGAAGTCATTGTTTTGGTCAAAAAGCGGTACTGCCAACGTTGTGTACATGTCAAAGTGGCTTAAGACACTCAAAGACATGATTTTATTCCATTTAAAGTATTTTTTTTTCTCAGTTTTATGCATAAAAAACTGAGAAAATCACAGCAAAAAGGAGTTATTCTAGTTTAAAACGGTGGTTGTAGTATGACCTTTTTTGATAAAGTTGTGGCTGTATGAGACGAAGATGTTGAAGAAACTAATGTGGTATTTTCTTTCAACTCTTGGATTTTTTCACGATATTTATCTATTCTTATATGCTGTACTATCGACTGCCATCTTTTATTCGCACAATCTAATTGGTCCGTTTTACACCATGTACATACAAATGTTGATTTCCCTAGCATCCAGCTTTAACCATCGTCTCACAGGGACTTCATCTACTATTTTCTGTAACTATAAGTGATTGAATTTTTTGTTTCATATGACGGCATTGATAAAAAACTATATCTCAAACTACTTTCAGATATTTTTGCTAAAAAATCCTAGAAAAAGAGAATCATTACGTACGCGCAGAATAAAATAAAATGTACACGATTGGAGAAACAGAGTATACATTTTGTGAAACTTTTTTTATTACAAACGCTATTTGCAATCATAACACAAATAGGTAAAGTCGCGTTTCGCCAATAGACATTCGCCATACTGGCGACTGGCGAATGTCCACACGACATTCGCTAGATTGACATTTGCCAGTACCCCTACGACATTCGCTAGATTGACATTCGCCAGTACCCCTACGACATTCGCCAGTTATGGTGAATGTCCACACGACATTCGCCATTGTTCACACGACATTCGCCAATTATGGCGAATGTCTCGGCGACAGTCGCCAGTACCTGTCCTCAGTATATGTGTGAGTGAGAGTGTCCGCACGACATTCGCCAATTATGGTGAATGTCCCCTTGACATTCGCCAATTGGTCGATTGGCGAATGTCTACTGGCGAACATTGGCGAAAGTTCGCCTATTGGCGAATGTCTACTGGCGAACATTGGCGAAAGTTGAATTGGCGAACTGCGACACATCCCACAAATATATTGTACTAGACATTCTTCTAGATAAAATATTGTGATTCTATTAGAATTAACATTCTTTTCATAATCATATGATTCAAATGCAGTTACCTTGCCATATATTGAAATGCTGTTTTATCTAGGCAACTAAGTATTAACATTTGTAAATGTTTTATTGTAGTTATTATTTGAGATTGATGCACTTGTTCATCATTACAGGTTTGTTGTACTTGAGACGATGATATAACAAATTTAGGTTTTGTCTAGAAACATATGAGAATAAGCAAAAAATAATCATTTAGAGTAAATAAGAACAACTTTACTTACACCTTTTAATTTTCTTCTTTTATTAATTTCTTGAATATACTGTTTTTTGAATGCCGGTGTTGGATTTTCAAGCGGAGAAGAGTTACTATTATCCATCTTCAAAATGTAATAATGCTCAACAATCTGAATTAAAAGAAAAATGAAATTAAAGTGTACAACAATCACTTGTGTACTAATATAGTCAGTCATAAATATTTTATTCTAAATATGTTCGTATTTTAACCTCTATCAATGGTTTTTCTTCTCAAACAGGCTTTTTTTTCTGTTCAACTATTACTGACTGGAATAAACTTCCTGAGTTAGTCATTTGTTTTTCTTCATTAACGTCTTTCAAATAGGCACTAGTTCAGTATCACTTAGAATAAAATTCAGCCATGTTCCTAGACATAATAAACTTGTGTTAGTCGTTTTCTTTAACATTATTTTTATTTGTGTTTATTTCTCATCGTTCCTTTATCTCTATATTGCATACTCTAGTTTCTTTTGTCTTTTGTCTATTTCTGTTATGTTTTTTTGTTTTTCCCTCATCTCATTTTTATAGTTTGGCTCAAGTCATTGATATTACAGGTCAAGGATCTTTGATCACTCTCACTTTTCACGAATAAACATTATTATTACGTACGATCAACATATGTGAATAAGATTCTTCATCTATCTCAGCGCTTTCGAGTTTATATATGTCCTATTTTCATTTTTCAAACAAACAGCAATTATCGAGATATTTACCGTTCTGTATGATAGAAGAGGGACCATATTGTCATTTTGCACATTTCTAATAATAATGTTTTATTCACGAAAAGTGAGAGTGGTCAAAGATTCTTGACCTCTAATATCAATGACTCGAGCCAAACTATAAAAACTGACAGCTAGTCTTATCGAAATTTCCTGCTAACCATCGATTCACGACTAATATAACTGGATCGAAATTAAGTTCTCTACCCTGATCAATTACAAATTTAACAACAAACATCCTAGATGGCTCATCTAAACTAAAATAGCTGTAAGTTGAACACTTCTGAAGAAAAAGAAACACTGCAGAACTTTTATATATTTAGATAGAAGTTACAAATCCTTTTTGACTAATATCCTGTTGATGTTAATCTTCATACACTAGCTATTGTGATGAAAATTAGAGAATTAAACAGAAATTATACCGGTTCTCTCGCTCACAAGTGTTCAACAAGATCGATGGGTTAATTTTGTAAGGCAGAAAGCATGAAAAAAAGATAAAGTAGACATTTTCAAAAGCAAAGTGGGATATACTTTTCGCAGTGTGGAAAACAGAATAGAAATTCATTAAATTAATTAAGAACAGAACAAAAGGGTGTCTTTGATTCAAATACGAATATGCTCTTTGACGATGCTCGCTCTAATCGGCTCTCACTGTTTTATTCCCTTGACTTTAGTCTAGGTCTTAGGCCACGTTCACACTACAAAAGTAAACGAGCTAAAACGAAGCTGATTGGTCAGAAAGTTAATTCTGAGTTAAATAATGTTTCGGACATCATTTAACTTTAACTCTTCAATCATAAATGAGCTTAGTAACCAATAATATGGTTCCATTAGACAACGAAGATAGCACCAGTTCTATGGGAAAACAAATATCTGACTCTCCTCAATTTTGCTGTTTGAGCTTAGAAAGTCAACTGTGGAACGTAATTTCAAACCGACAAGCCGAATACTGAATCCAGGAAGCGGCACAATTTTAGGAAAATGACAAAATTGGTGTGTTAAAGACTATGATGTGAACGCTCTAATTCAACGTTAACTATGAAAATTTGTGATATGAACGTGGCCTTACAAAATGGTTGTGGGCAAAATACGAAAAAATGGTTATCAGATATTCCATGGATGAGCCAATCACAACAGAAAAAAGTAGAAAATTGCTTTTTAACTACGAGAGAAAAAATACTCAAAGAGATGACTCGAAATATTTACTAATGCAGGTAGAAAAAAAGCAAAGCAAAGTTTTTCCGTAGTCGGCAGAAAGATGTCGCCAGAAATCAGTGAGTTTTGATAAAACACAAAACTCATCTACGGACAAGAATATAGATAGTCTATGAGGGCAAATTAATCAGAAATACTTCGAGCCGTATCAGGATCGTCAGAGGATCTCTAGAAAACGGTTTAGCTTTACACGATTGTCCATTCAAAAAACAGCGGCCTCGGTTGTTTTTTAAATAACTTTTGATAGAAAAATGCTAGAAACGTGCGTTTTTCAGATTTGGAAACTAGATCCTCGAAGCTACATTTCCCTAAGCAAAATCGATATTTGAAAATTTTCCGAAGCTGGTTTTTCAGAGGATCCTTGGAAAGCCAGTTTGGATCGCTAAAAATTGGCGCAGAAATAGGACAATTTTTCAAATATCGGTTTTGCTTAGGGAAACGTAGCTTCGAGGATCTAGTTTCCAAATCGGAAAAACGCAGGTTTCTACCATTTTACTATCAAAAGTTATTTAAAAACCAACCGAAACAACTGTTTTTTGGATGGACAACACATTGGTCACTTTTTTCGTGAAATGAGAGAAGTTGACAACAGTTCTCGGCTATTGCATTAGCGAACGCCGACCGAAGGGAGGCTTGATCGTTGTCTTTGACTCAAAGTCCATGGAAGGTCGGTAGATATAAGTTCTTAAAGTCAGGGCGAGTGCAGACGAGCGTTACCTTGTAGAAACTACTGATAATGTTTTTACATCCTCTTTTCGCGCACGGTCACGACGATGTATACAACAATGCCATTATTAAATAGATCTTGTTTTGTTTAATTAAACAGTGGCCATTTATAATGTAGTTTAGCAGATGTCATCAAATCAAATATAGTCGCATGCAACAGATAGAGTTTGTCATTCAAATGTGAGAAAACTTTGCCACAGCGAATGTCCTTCATCATGACAATTTGTATCACTAGATATTCACATGAACTAAAAAAAATTTTATCTTCGTGTCGATGCTGAACTTCTATTATGTACTATACTCTATATTGCGAATTATTTTATGAGACTAACACTATCAATCATATTTGTAACCGGTCAGAAATTGCACGACCGGGATCGAAAGCGGTCAGAAAACGTTAGATCGGACCGGTCCGGCTAAGTACGACCGGACGGGTCTACCGATTAACCGAGCGGCTTACGTCGTTTTCCTCGGTCGAACCGCGTCGAGACCGGCACTTGATTTAAACCGGTCGGTTATCGGCGGCAGGGATGGGTGAGTCAGAGAAGACTCAAGTCGCATTTGTCGTTGACTCAGACTCGAGATGAAAGACTCAATAAACTTGATAAAGTGACTCGAATCATTTACGAGTCAGCCATGTGCAACCTGAGATTGTTATGACGGTGTTTATTATATTTGTTATGTACCAGCAGAGGGAGAGATTTGAGAATATTCTAAGTAGGACATCGCGCCACATGAGAGGATTGAGAACTGTTCTTGGAAAAATGAATCAGGGGAAGTTTTCCTGTAGAAAATGATTCAAAGTGACTCGAGTAACCTCGAGTCAATTTTTAATGCGACTCGGACTCGGACTACGATTCGAAGGCTATTGACTCATCATCCTACTTCTGATTCATCTTCTATTACAAAATCATCCTATTTCTTAAAAAAAGTGCAATGTTAAAAGATCACTGTATGCTCTTAAGATACAAAAAGCGATGAAATGATTGAATAACAGATATCACAAAAAACGTACAAAAACTTATGGCATCCGTGGATACCCTGTGATAACCCAAATCGTATAACAAGCTTAGGTGGCACATTTTTAGTTATTTTTAGTATATTCATAAAACCATTGATATTTTCTTTGACTGTTTCGCTACTGAAGATCTCCTAAAATAAAAGTAATAATTATTCTATATCACGTTAGTTATTCAGCTTAGAGAAAGGTTAATAACTGAAGATCATACTTGATACTAAACCGATTAGCTGCTAATTCAGGAGAATCTAAAATGATTTCTACTCGCATTAAAGCCGATTACTATTCCACAGTAGAGAACAATGGTAATCATCTCAAATGATCGTAAACATTTTTTAATGTATAAATTTGGTTTATGTTTTAATGTTTTACACGAAATTCGAGTTTTCCATTCTAGTGAAGCAGCATGAGACACTTTTCTTGTACATTCCACTACTTCGCCCGCATTTATTATATTCTATTGTAAAAATGTCTTCGACCCTTTGTTTTCGTTAGTTTCTCATGTACAATTGTTTCAATCAAAAGGACATCTCCGTTTGTTTTATCCCGAAAGGTGTGATCGACACAATCAGAGGTCTAGAGGCTTTGGACAGGCATTGATAAAAAAGAAAATATATATATATATATCTTAAGAAAATTGCAGAATGGTTTGCTAAAGAAAAGTGTTAAGTCTTTGCAGTATCTTCATTGCCAATGATTGTCGAAAGCTGTGGGATGTCTCATTTTGTTGGTCATATTTTTCTGGGTAAACCAAAACACATGCTGTCTCGAGGTGCCGTTTTGGTCGAAATCATCATAGACGAGAGACTAACAGAAAAAAGTGTCGGAAATATTTTTACAATACAAAAGTTAGCTGTTTTGATCGTCTTAAAATTTACTAAATGGTACTATTAACCATCATTCACCATTGCTCTGATACTTTATAGTTGTTGACCTATTGCATTAGCCACGAGTGTTCTTCACTCCATATCTCTAAACCAGTTTTGATGGCCTTAAAATCGAGTATTGATGCTTGGTTGTAAATGTTTTCCTTAAAGTACACCCTGCCATATCGGTGCAGACCGCCGATAGGTCAGGCGTAAAATGTTTTGATTTAGTAAGAATGTGTTTATCTTTTCTAAAATCCGCTATTGCTGACGGGTATTCACGTTTCATGTAATGAATACAACCCTTGTAGTTATAATCTTTTGCGAGAGATAGTCGATCAACTGGCAGAAATCGTACTTTAACACCTGATGTTAAACATGTTCGTAACGATTTTGACTGTTGAATTTTCCCTAAATTGACTATTTTATAGTTACCAGTAACTGTTGCCAACAGCGAGTTATCTATCGGTTTCCTCTTTTGTATCGCTTTTTTAAAAGAATATTCCGTTATATAGTAATCATGCTTGATCTTGGTTATCAGTAGGCATTCCTCTGAACAAGATGCGGTCTAGCCATCTGCATTGTTATAAGCGACTCTCAAAACCGTGGTTTTCATCGGTTTTTCAAACCGCATGGATCGAAGAAATCGCGGTTTGTTCTTGCCGCGGTGAGTTAAACTGCGTTTTTCGGAATGACAACGCGGTTTGCTACAGAGAAACCGTGATGAGCCAAAAAGCCCGCGGTTAACCGCGGTTTTATTCGAAAAAATTTTTCGAAAATGTTTGCTCAGGCCTGCTATGGAATTTCGTGCGAGCTTCATGCCCGGTCTTTTTTTGACATATTAGAACCTCAGAAATGACTGTAAACCAGTAATGCCTGATATCTAGCGAAAATAGATATCACCAAAATACACGAGATATTAGCACTAAAAGATGAGATTTTAGTGAATACACCGGAGATTACCAAATTTTTTGTAGATATTTGAATACCACGAGATTTTAGCAAAATGCACGAGATATTAGTCAAATACGCGAGATATTAGCACTAAAAGGTGAAATTTTAGTGAGTACACGAGATATTAGCAAATTTTGTATATATTTGAATACCACGAGATTTTAGTAAAACACACGAGATATTAGCGGAAGACGCGAGATATTAGTACTAAAAGGTGAGATTTTAGTGAGTACACGAGATATTAGCAAAGTTTTCTATATAGTTCTGTATCTGCATGTTATTTCACAATGTGATAATCGTATACAAAAATAAATGTGTGAAAGAGAAAGTGGCAAATTTTAAGCAAAGTGCGACATTGGGTCTGACTACTCCTTGATCTGTCCTAATATAGTAGTGGCGAAACTGGCTCGGGGGGTCGGGGGTGGCAGTATGAGAGTGAGTAACAAGACTTTCAATTCGGAAATTTCCAAAGAAATGTGGAACTTTGCACCATCGGCATATACAAAAATTTGCTAATATTTGGTGTACTCACTAAAATCTCACCTTTTAGTGCTAATATCTCGCGTCTTTGACTAATATCTCGTGTGTTTTACTAAAATCTCGTGGTATTCAAATAAATACGAAAATTTGCTAATATCTCGTGTGCTCCCTAAAATCTCACCTTTTAGTGCTAATATCTCGCGTCTTTCACTAATATCTCGTGTGTTTTACTAAAATCTCGTGGTATTGAAATATATGCAAAAATCTGCTAATACCACGTGTACTCACTAAAATCTCACTTTTTCGTGCTAATATCTCGTGTGTTTTACTAAAATCTCGTGGTATTCAAATATGTACAAAAGTTTCCTAATATCTCGCGTACTCACTAAAATCTAACCTTTTAGTGCTAATATCTCGCGTATTTCGCTAATATCTCGTGTCTTTTACTAAAATCTCGTGGTATTCAAGTAAATACAAAAATTGGCTAATATCTGGTGTACTCACTAAAATCTCACCTTTTAGTGCTGATATCTCGTGTATTTTGGTGATATCTATTTTCGCGAGATATCAGGCATCCCTCCTGTAAACAGGGGTTATCGACGACATCGAACCTCATGGCAACGTTTGTTTTTACAAAGAGTTCAAAGATCTGCTGAAAACTGAGTTTACCAAAAACTGAGATTTTAAGGTTGTTTGCACCTAATATTAAAAAATGCACAATTCACTCAAAAAACAACAGAACGAGCTTAAGACTTTAGGATATGGCTAAATTTGTCTGGTACACCTGATTATACCATCGAAAAAGTCGAAAACCATATTTTTGCTCAAACGTTTTTCAGAAACCCCTTTGTAAAACCATCGAGTTTTCTAAAGCTGTTTTTCTAGGTTTCATATAACTGCAGAATAGCACAAATACTCTGCGCACGAAAATGACTTTCGTGATGAAAAGACGCAGTCAGGCCTTGGGTCCCAGCTGGTGAAGACAGCAAGCATCTACCACTTTCCTTTCGAGCGTTATTCAAGATACATTCGAGTCCATTCATCTCTTTTACCGACAATAGTTAAATATTTGGTCGAGGGATGTTTAAATCTGTATATAATCGCTTGTTTTGTCGAATTTATCATCAGGCCATATTCCGATAAACTGTTATGAACTATTATTCATTTCAAATGCGAGTAATATTGCTATCGAAACATAAACTGGTACGCTCGGTTGATCTTTGAAAAACGCGATGCATGTTCACTCCGTACGTTCAATGTACTGTTGTAGTTTCTACAAGTGATCGGATACCAGTCTCTGACTCCAAAGAAATACATGCCGCACCTAAGGTATGAAAAATGAATGTCTTGCTTGCGATAGAGGGCGTTGAGCTGAATTGAATGGCGCTTGAACGAACTCACTAGCTTTAATAGTTTTTTAGATAAGAGCGATTTAGTGTGTCAAAAATGTCACAGGGTCACGCTTGGACAAGCCGCTTACTAGGCAAATTGTAATATGAATATGTTCATAGGCATCTTGAAACAACTAAAAGATTGATGATGTTAAGAGGAAAACTCATTTTTCACTGCGAATCGTGTTAGTTCTCACATCTATTTACTGCTTTTATGCTCGTAAGACAAAAATGCAAATGAGAAATTAAGAAGGTTTCGTCAAAAAAATCACAAATATAAATATTTTTGAAATATTTTTGATTTACAGTCAGACGTTTAACAACAAGGTTTCATTATAAAATATATTTTGACAGAATGGAAATAAAAAGAAATAATGAATCACTCAGAAAATGAAAATCAAGGATAGAAAAATAACTGATTTTATAAAGAACTTCGAATGACGAGTCGAATGTATTATGAAAAAAAATTCATTCGAATGCATTTATTATAAAAAGAACTAACGAGGGAAGTACTCCAACTGATAAATCGCTTTTTCAACGAAACCGAGTAGACTATAGGTAGTCGACGATGCTGATTCCGAATATCACCGTGAATGCTGCTGCTTGACCTTCAAAGACCGGTCTTCTGGAAAACCAGTTCTAAACAACAACGAAAAGCTTTCTTAATGAGGCGTAATTGTAGTCCATAAATTTCTGATTAAAACGAGGCATCTCCCAGCTCTACACAACCTTTCTTTTGCAAAGTTATAGAGTTTACAGAAGACCGGTCTTTGAAGGTCTAGCAACAGCATTCACGGTGATATTCGGAATCAACATCGTCGACTACCTATAGTCCACTCGGTTTTGTTGAAAAAGCGATTTATCGGTTGGGGTGCTTCCCTCGTAAGTCATATTTATAGCTTTTGTTAACTATTCGTACGTGAATTAAACAAAGTTTCATCCACAGACGCAGAACGTGACTACTAAGACTTCGCAATTCAGCATTATTTGCAGACGAAAGTTTTGCATTCAAATTTCTCTACGCCTAATGGGGCTCAGAAATACGAAAGAAAAAAACCAAAACCTCGAGAAGTCACTGCAAACAGAAATTGCTGCTGCATCTTCATCGCTCACGTTAGCTGATCAGGATGACGATAATGATGAAAAAAATTTTGAAACATTTTTATTGATCTGGCTGGACGCAAATGTTAATCCCACAGACGATAATTTTGTGCAACAAAAATTACATTTAGCAATCAATTATATTAAAGTGTTTGATTCAGTGGAACAATGTGAACAATTTATTCTTAAAAGAAATGAAAATTATGAAAAAATTGTCTTGGTTGTATCTGAAAGTTATGCTCGACAGGTTGTTCCAGATGTACACGATCTTCCACAAATTAGTGCTATCTATGTTTATGGTATTGACAAGAGCACCAATGCAAACTGGGCAAAACAATATAAGAAGGTAAAAAAAACTCAGTGTTTTTTGTAAAGGACAATGTTTGACAAAAGTGATTAAAACTCATAGGTTCAGGCAGTTATAAGTAATTTTGATGAACTGGTCAAAATTATAACTGAAGATCAGATTAAACGAGAAAAATTCGAAGATTCACTAATGATGCCAATGACAATATTGGATTCAACGCAACAACAGAAATCACTTTCAACTATAAGTGGAAATTTTATGTTCATTCAATTGTTTATTGAAATTTTACTTCGTATGGAATATGTACCATTAGATAGACAAGAATTAATTAAAACGTGCCAACAGGTACAAGCGCATAATAATTATGAAATAAAAATTATTAATGAATTTCAATTCAACTATTCATCAGATAAAGCGCTTTGGTGGTACACAAGGGAAACTTGCTTATACCGAATGTTGAATAAAGCCCTTCGTATTCAAGATATTGATATGATATTTACATTTCGGTTCTTTATTGCTGATTTATATAAACAATTGAAACAAATACATAAAAAGCAACAAAATGATAGTTCACGAATTACGAAAGTTTATCGTGGTCAAAAAATGTCAGTTGTAGAATTACAAACAATACAAAAATCGATTAATCAACACATATCAATGAACAGTTTTTTATCTACAACTCTTAATAGTAAACGCGCAATATCGTTCATTCCAACACTATCAACGCTTAAAGATGATAAATTACAATCTGTTTTGTTTGAAATCATTATTGATTCAAACGTAACAAATACAAAACCTTTTGGCAGTATTAGTGATCAAAGTTTTTTTTCTACTGAAGAAGAAGTACTTTTCATGATTGGAACAATATTTATTATTGAAGATGTTGAGAAAAATGACAAATATTGGACAATTAGATTGCGTTTAGCTGATGAGACTGATCATCAGCTACGAGATATATTCGATTATATGAAAACGAATATTAAACCAAAAACGAATCTTCTTTCACTTGGTATTTTGTTATGTGAAATGGGCGAGTACTCTAAAGCAAAGACACATTACCAACACTTACTAGACAAATTACCAAAAGATGATAATTCTAATCGTGCACATTGTTTTCAAGGTCTTGGTTGTGCTTATTTTGAAAGTGGTAATTTTGATTTATCTATAGTAAATCATCAAACAGCCATTGAAATATTTCTGTTAATTCCAAATAATGAAGCAACTATAGTTAGTTATCATGGAATCGGACATGCCTATCTAAGAAAAGGTGATTACCAAAAGGCTTCTGAATATTTTGATAAATCATTAGAAGTAACAAAAACATGCAGTTCAGATGAAAATAGTCTTGCAATGGCGATTACATATAATAATTTGGGTCTTTTGTATACCGAACAAAATAAATATAATGATGCTTTATCTTATTATTCAAAAGCATTGGCAATTTATCAAAAAAATCTTCCCGATGATCATTATGAGATAGGCATGATGTACTGTAATATAGGTTATATATATTACAAACAACAAGAATATAATTTGGCTTTATTTTATTATGAGAAAGAGTTGACAATTAGTCTAAAAACATTTCCATCGACACATCCGGATATTGGCAATACGTACCTGAATATTGGATCCGTTTACGAAGATTTAGGACGATATGAAACAGCATTATGCTATTTCAATAAAGCTGATATTATATTTCGTGAAGCACAGCTCGTCTCTACACATGCGTACGTTGTTGAACTCCAAAAACATATTCAGTCGTTAAATGCTAAGCTGAACAAGTGATACACATTTCTTACACATGAATATTCATATCTATTCTCTTTCTGTTCTTCAATTTGTTGCTATTATGACTTGAAAAATTAAACTTTATCAGCCAGGAAGTGGAATATGAGGAGTTTTTTTGAAAATCAATTTTAAGCTGTTCAATCCAACCCTATTTCATACAAATTGTTTTTCATCCTTAAAGATTTATTTTTTAATTTCGGTCATCGTCTAACAAGTTTTTTCCCACGCTAATATATTTTAGAGAGGTACGGGACGCCCTTATAGCACACAGTGTGCATTTCTCTAATAGCAAGCGGACATCAGACTCGTTGGACCGAAGTTCTTAAGTATTCTTTTTTTTCTCCAAGGCGTTATGTGCAAATAGCGAAAGTTCTTCGCGAACCGATAGGCAAAAGTATCTAAATCCAGAATTCGTATTGTTTTTTACGTTTATTTTCATTTAATTCTTCAAGAAAAGTTTTTACCTTTGTTTTTGACTTAATATTTTCCCGGGTTCCATAGCACCTGGAACAAAAAGCCTTTTATGCCATTAAATAGCTCATATAAGGAAGTATATTCTCCACCATCTAAATTTAAAAAAAGAGCATTTTGGATTAATTCGTATTCCTCGGTGATTCAACTTACAAATTCCGTAACGTGTCAAGACACAATAGAGAAAAGCATTAGAAAACTAGGTGCTTTTCCCGCGTTGCACCAAATTTAATGAAACTACGAGGATATATGCAGACTTTCTCGGTAAATTCCACAGCAGGTTTCTTGTAATTTCATTTTGACTTTTTCTCTGATGTCGTTACAATCTACATGATTTTTGCCTAAATTAGAAACAGCACAAAAAAGCATTTAAACGGTTCTTTTACTGATCATTTTTTGAAGCGTTTTTTTGTGCCGTTTCTAATGATTTTCTTTTGGCTATGATACTGGATTGAGTGTAAATTGGACTCAGATAGATTTAGTTAGACTGAAGTTTTGAAAAATTGTTTAAAAGATTGGGGTAAACACGGCTATAGTATATCTCCGTATTCATTCTCAAGAAAAGACAAATATTTCCAAGTCGAAGAATAACGATTATAATTCTTCGCAACTTTTCTTGAAATTAATAGATTTTTTTCCTAGCTCATTACTGCGTGTGCTAAACAATATTAGGATGTCCACACCCAAGAGCGTAAAAACGGGTAAAAAGACGGGGTCCGAAAACTAAAAAACGGCCCGTAATATTTCTCATTGGACGGATCCGCTTCCCATTTGCCACGGGGTGACGGGGCCTGAACGGTTCAAAAATACGGGTATCCCGTATAACTACACGTTCTGCATCGAAGAAATACGGGGTCACGAAAAATGATTTCCTATACCTTCGAAGTGTCGTGTGGTTACCTGTTCTACCCTTAGACGCCTTGACATGTAAAATTAACTTTTGTGTATGTTCCACCCTAGGCAGTCATTTTCTGCTCGAAAAACACGTACACTATTTTTGTGGTAGAAACGCGTTAAGTTTTTAAATTTGAAAAAATTTAAAAATTAAATTCAAAATCGAGCTGACGTATACAGAGAGTCTCCATGCTCTCACACGATCGTCCACGATTGTCTTAAAGTCAAGGTTCACGAGTTAAGGAAGAAAGAAACTAAGACAACTTACTCTGCTGTGACGATGATTCGAACGTGAATACCTAGAATTAAGAAGCAAGCATAGAACAGGTTGAACTAAGGATGCTCGAAAGATGACCTGTATCATCTGTAATTGTTTCGAGCATCGATAGCTTATTGAGGAAGACTTATTCTTTTCTGTTTGCTTGTTTTTTAATTCTAGGACCCGAGCAACTGCTTATTACTCTTGTCTGAAGAGATCTTTCATTTTGCTTGGAGTAAAATAGTTTTTTATTTCCAGTAATAGTGACTGGAAGGCTCGAATGAAAGTAATTTCTGAGTTTCGTTGTTCTATCATCTGTAGGTTCAGTTCCAAAATTGAAGAACTTCTACGAAACTTCGAACCCAGTTGAGTTTCTATTATTCGACGTTGTTCGAGTTCCGTATTGATACAGATTCATTTTTTCAAACTTTTCATCTAAGAGCTATTTATTATCCATATTTTGTATTTGAATGTTATTGTTGAGAGCAACACCTGAGTCTGAGTAAGTTTTTCGTGTGAATCACTGTGTCTTTGGTAAAAAGGCTTTGCATCTAATCCAGATCGAAAATGCATAGAAATTGAAACGTTTCATCTTACGACATCCCCGACTGTAGAACATACACAAAAGTTAATTTTGCATCCCAAGGCATCTAAGAGTAGAACAGGTAACGACGCGGCACTTCGAAGGCATAAGAAATCATTTTTCATGACCCTGTATTTCTTCGATGCACAACATATAGTGATACGGGATGTAAGTGAACAGCTAAAAGTACGCCCCGTACTCTTTCAGGGAACGGGTAGAATGTAAATAAATCAGCCTCAGTACGGGGTCTGGACCCCGTATAAAGTTTTGATACGGGGTCAGAACGCCCGTTCTAAAAATTTTTTAAGCTCTTGGGCACGATCGATTAGAAATATAAAGGATCCCACCGAGAACGGACCCTGTCAAACCTGGTGCTCCCCTTGAACCACAAAACCAAATATGCCGTTTTGTAGAACAGCTCGCGGCGCGTCGAATGGTACATAACCCACGTCTTGCAGAAAGAGAAAATCTGCACAAGTTCTTTAAAGATTTTTTTTCTTGAAAATTCTTGATCAAGATTTATTGATCCCTCTGCACTTGATGTCCTTGGAAAAACTTGATCAAGATTTACTACGGTTTCAAGTCTGATGTATCTTGAGAATTCTGTATCAAGATCTTGTTGTTGTCTCTATCACCGTTTTTGTTTTGTGGTGTCTGTATATATATATATAAAAGCATCCGCACTGTAAAATATTGACAAATCTTCAAGTATATTATGGACATAACGTTCAACTAAACAGCTTCGGTAGTGTCTGAACGGTACCGTAAGAGCTGTGAATTGTGCAGTACTGTTCGTACAGTGCAGTACTGCAGAGCGAGCGCAATAGAATACAGTAGATAAAAATAAATGAAAATAATACCTAAACAATCCA